CTGAGTCAAGGAATGCAGCAGATTGCGAATCAGGGGGGAGGGGAGTTATTTGGTTGTTTTGCCATTTTTTTGTTTGTTTATTTTTACATGTAAAAAAAGCCTTATTAGCTTGAGGGTGACAAAGCGAAATATTGTCAGTTTTGTAAAGTGAATGTGCTTGTGGGTCACTTGCACCACCTTGTGATAAAAATGATGTATAGCACTCTTTGTAATCGGATGCTTTTTGCCACTTAATGGTCCTAATATATACATATGTACAGCAGAGAAATAACCTCTAAGCAGAATTTTTTACTTTCCTATGTATTTCAGTTCTGAATGAAGTTAACTGATTTACAATGCTTATGCATTAAAACTATACCTTCAGTATACTGTTCTTCCGTTGTACTTCTGTATTCAGCGTTCTCTGTGTAATGATAAATGCTGCTTTTGCAGTTCCTACGATGAATATTCCACAGGCTGTACAGCTCAGATCTATAATGGGTATTATCAGATGGGAGGAAAAATGCTTTTTCACTCGGTGGTTATGAATGTGCAGTGTACATTTCATAAACAATCATGGATGGGCTTTTAGCAAGAAGATACTCGGAAATTGGATGGGTTTAGCAGTTACTTTTTGCCACGTTAAAGTGGCGTTCTTCCATACGTGCCTATTTCATACAATTATTACCAGGTTTTCCAAATCCTTTTTTCAGAACAGTGTCTACATTTTAAGTAGAGAGGCATGGAGATTTGGTTATTTTTAATTTTCAAATACATTGTCCTATTCCACCCTTCATTTTCTTGACATTCAAGTGTAGTTGAGTCTGAGATGCTTTATTGGGAAACTGAGAGATACTAGAGGCGTAGCGTTGCAGCCGATTGTCATGCCATACAGAACCTTAGTGAGCTTTGATGTTGGAAGTTGCATCTTCTAAGTGCTCTAGAATAATTCACTCAAATTCTCCACCAGATTAATCCACAGGCTAGAATTAGTTCCTGAAAGGGTTTGATTACAAAAGGAGTGGGTCTTCATCTCTCTTGGGTCATTCATCTGGTGAAAGCCTTGTAAAGAGTTGCAACTTGGATTCCTGGACCCTTCCTGCCCCTGCCCACTCATAAAAATGGGGGGATTCTGGGAGGGGGAAAATATTTGAATGACAGAAAAGAATCATTTCAGTTGGAGAAGACCTTTAAGATCAAGTCTAACCGTTAACCTAACCCTGCCATCCCACCACTAAACCATGTCCATAAGCACCTCGTCTACCTGTCTTTTAAATACCTCCAGGGATGGGGACTCCACCACTTCCCTGGGCAGCTTCTTCCAATGCTCAACAATCCTTTCAGTGAAAAAACTTTTCCTAATGTCCAACCTAAACCTGCCCAGGTGTAACTTGAGGCCATTTCCCCTCATCCTATCGCCCGTTACCAGGGAGAAGAGGCCGACCCCCACCTCCCTACAGCCTCCTGTCAGGCAGTTGTAGAGGGCGATCAGGTCTCCCCTCAGCCTCCTCTTCTCCAGGCTAAACAACCCCAGTTCCCTCAGCCGCTCCTCATCAGACTTGTGCTCCAGACCCAGAGAAAACCAGTTGGATGTTACTTCTGTGTGGCCGTGATCTTCTGCGAATACTGGCGTTTCTCCTCTTCCATTCTGGGTCTAAGGAATGCAAGAGCTGTGCATAACTCGGTAATTTTGTGGACAGAACTGAGAGGCTTTCCTGCAATCCTGGGCTGTTACGAGCTGTAGCAAAGCAGCAGCTCCTGGGATGCTTTGTTGCTGCAGGGTGTCACTTGCTGCTGTGGTCTCAGCCCTTACTTTGTAATACGCATCAGTGTGCGACTGATGAACTTAACTTTGCTGACAGCGAAAATGTTTTAAGTTATCTGGCAGCATTTGTGTAGGCAGAAGGGGATAGTATCTTTTCCAACAAGAAAGCTTTACTCATTAATATAAAAATGTTAAAAGATGGGGGTTTATGTGGTTTTCCCCCTTCCATAGCATTTTGACAACTTTCTCTGAATAAAAAGATGTGAGAACCATGCATTGTAATGAATTCGTAGATCGTTATTATTCACAGAAGGCCTCATTTGTG